AGGAGAAGGAGATGTTACTTCATTTTTCATAAAAATAATCACTTTTTGACCGCTTGTATGTCCAGAACGACTTGTATGTCCTTGATCGATTTTTATTTTTTTTTAACTCAAATTACTCGTGGCGATGCCTTTCAGGATATGTTACGTGCGATTCAAAATTTTTTTTATTTTAGTATTATAGTTCTGTAACCCCAAAAAATGGACTAAAAAAGTGGTAGCTCGGGATAAGAGACTTGCAGTGTCTTTATATCTTTTACTTTTTTTTTAACATGGTCGGAGATACTACCGCGTCTCTTGATAGGGATGTATGGTGGTATGGATGTGGATGAATGCGAGAGGCAGTTATGAAGGGAGGACTCGTAAGAGAGAAAGAAAGAATGAATGAGAAGACACGAGGAAACACCTGTTCTTAATTACTTAGTGAATTACTTACTTACTTTTATGAATTTCTCGAAATATTCACTACATTCGAAGTTACAATTTACGTTAGAGATTGAAGGTGACAGATTAAATTTCCTCAATGTTATTCATATCAATATTATTATTGCAAGTTAGAGTTTAATGTTTTTCACAAATTAATCTACTCTTCGAGTAGAATAGATACTTCAGCTTTTTATATTATTGTTTCACAAAAAAAGAGATCTTTTGATAAGCATGGCGGACAAAGCGTTTTTATTATTCCATTCTCAATATTACGAAAGAAAATCTGAATTTTATAATTAGAACCTATTTAGATAATGATTATCCCATAAAGTTCATTTTTTTATCAATTTACGATTAGGATCCTCATGAAAACGCAAGATTCTTAAGTGGATCCTAAAGATTAATTATAGTATAAGTGGGACTTATATACGATTTATGTATCGTTAACACATCACTACATACCATTACATCAGGCCTGTCCAATTTGAGCTCTGGAGCCAAAATGTAAAGCTATCGATGCAAAAAATTCAATGTGAGTAAGATTTCAGGGACTGTACAATGTTAATAAGCATCACTTATTCGTATCAATACTTTACATTCCCCGAAATCTTATCCACATTAAATTTTTTTGCGTCAATGGCTTCGCATTTTGGATTCCGGAGCTCAAATTGAACAGGCCTGCACTACATCAATATTATTCACGCATATCGCGCATACACATAAATTTTCATATAACAATAACGTTTTAATTTGACATTGTTTCCTCGTGTACATTACTAGTATCTGAACTACCATTTCGTAAGAACAAATTGCACTTTTATACGAGCAAATGTCACGATGTGACAACTCTGTATTAAAAATGGTGAAGAAGGTTTCAATTTTGAAACTTTTTGACGTTCTTGGCCCAAATTCCACCTCACAGACACATATTAGTGCATATACTTTAATCTTGGAAAAGGATTTTCGAATCTATAAAAGATAAGAAAGTAATTGTTATACGAAAATTATATAATTAGTCGATAATACAAACGCCTTTAGGATCCCTTTAAATTGGCAGATACTTATACATCTAAAAATGAAAAAACTCAAAAAGGAAAAAATTTATGGTTTACTATTTCATATTTTTCTGGCATCTAAATGAAAAATCTAATAAAAAATTTAAGAACATAAAGACCTCAAATTATCGTTCTTTAGCTTGAACAGACTTAACGGAATTATAAAAATACAGAAAGACGTTTCTCTCACCATTTAAAGAAAAATGTCCATAAAATTTTTTGCAAGGGTTGTAACGTCTTACGTAGAGCAAATTGGGACAAAATTAAAAACTAGAGTATAATGATATCAATAAAAGATCAAATAATCTGTTATTTTGAAACATACAATATAATTTAACCATGAATTTTATTTGGAGAACATCAAAATTCTTGACAATGAAAAGTATTTGGGTCGGAGCTTAATTTACAGAGATGCTTAATAAAAAAATAATAGAAAAGTTTAAATTTTCAAAAGTTCAAAATTTAACACAGAATTTGTACACCATATTTATGTTAACATTCTTAATAAATTTCAGTAATTCATGACCATATTATTACATAAGTTTGACAATCTACATATTTAATTTTGGTGACACTTATATACTTATATTTTAGATATTGTTTATTATTTGATTCGTTTTTTACTTACAACATGTATGCCTCAACTGTCACTGTCACACTGGGCTTTGTTACATATAGTTATTTTTTATATTTTCACCCATCTATTCTTATCGATTATTGATTGTTTTACATATTGAACTTATGCGGTCGTAAGATGTGGCAAATAAGTCATACAGATTTTATGCACATGTATAACTGTTTACTATTTTGTCATTTTTGTTTTTTTCTTCAACGTTCTTAACCTAACAGTTGAATGATAGTTGTACTTTTCAAATTTTATAATTTGAGGGACTAGCTGTACTCTTTAATTTATCATTTTGTGACTACTCATTGAATTAGACTATCAAAAGGATTGTTCTAACACGCTGAAGATGGCTTGAAGTTAATCAAAGCGTTTAATTATTTTATAATTTTCCATGTAAGATTTTGAAATGCATATGTTTTACAAGGATTATCTCGCGTGAAGGCTCTCAATTGCTCGGTATTTAATAATTTTTATCGTAAACAATAATTCCATGTACGCTTTGCGGATAGTACGGGGAACGTATACAGACATTTATAATTACGAAGAGACAATGGAAAATTGACGAAATGTTCAAAAAAGGTAATACTTTTCGTCCATACTTCTTTGACTAGTGTTCCTATAATAATAATTAAGATAAAAAACCGTTAATAGTCAAATTTACGTTATAACACTGATTTTGTTTGTCATTTGCAAGTTGACAACTATTAGAGAAATTGTAGATATGTATAATATACAGAAAATATGATATGTCAAATGCTGTATGTCAAATGTAGCTGAGAGAACACAATCAATACTAGAAATGAAAATACCTATAACGGTCGAAGCTGGATCTTCGTTGTTTTAAATAATTAAATCTTGAATTACTATATATTCGTATATGTATACTTGCATTGTATATTATATTGTAGTCATTATAAGAAGAACGATCGTGTATGAATAAATTGAATAAAGTAAAGAACGGGGTCAAAGTCAAATGTTACGAATATATTTAATCAATTTTTTGTTCCAAATGCGTGCAATCACACATTTGGGATAAAAAATTGATTAAATATATTCATAACATCTATATTGTAGTCTTTCGAATTATACACGCGTCGAATTATTTTTCTAGACTATAAACGCAATTAAACTACTCTAATAATCGCGAATTAAATTAACAAGCAATTTTAATAATTTGATGTTACAATCAGGCATCATATTTAAAGATGTTAATATGTTGAAAAACTGTTAATAAAAATTTATTGCGAAAAATATTACCTCGGCTGGGAGTCGAACCCCTCTCTATATTCCGTACAAGCGTCCTAAGCATTTAGACACCGAGGCCTTCGTAATATTCTTCGCAATAATCGGTATAAGGAAACAACGTCTTTCTTTTAAGCGATGCAATATTGTTGTGGCCGATTCCTGCCTGTGCGTCGATTCAAGAGGTACACGCACTCCCGAATCGCCGAAATGGAATACACGTGTAAAAAAAGGAACAAGAAACGTTTATTAGAGAAGAAACACAGAGCACAGTACGATAAAATGCTAGAGCAGATGTAAAGATACGTCCGGACATGACGACGGCTTACATTCGAATTTGAAGATTTTGTTGTTAGACAATCAAAGGGTGAATCGCTCGGCAACGCACTCACTTCTTTACAACACGAGTGTCAGCAAGACACGGGCATAACAATATTATAAAGATATTAATATGTTGAAAAACTGCAATCGCAATAAAAAAAATTGCGAAAAATATTACCTCGGCCAGGAGTTCTAATATTGATTGTGTTGTCACATATGTGGTCTAAAATAAAGATTCTTAATATTGTTTATATTACGTTATCTAAAAGAAAGATATTTTCTTGTATCGATTAACATGTATCGATTATGTGAAGAATATTATTAAAGCCTCGATCTAAACGCTTAGTTTGTACGGAATACAGAGAGATCCGGGTTCGATTCCCAGCCGAGGAAATATTTTTCGCAATAAATTTTTATTAACAGTTTTTCAACATATTAACTTTTCATTCAACGTATTATTTTTATAACATGATATCTGATTGTAGTATCAAATTATTAAAATTGCTTGTCAATTTAATTCGCTATTACTAAAGTAGTTTAATTACGTTTATAATCTGGAAAAACAATTCGGGGCGCAGTTCAAAAGACAACATGGTGTACTATATATATCATATATGCAAGTATACATATATGGTATATATACGTATAGTAATTCAAGATTGAATTATTTAAGCAATAAAGATCCAGCTTCGACCATTATAAACATTTTAATTTCTACTATTGATTGTGTTCTCACATATGCTAAAATAAAAATTCCTAACATGTAGCTGAGTTTGATTAAATGAGCATGATGTGGTTAGAAATAACATTTTTTATCAGATCTCTGCAAATGTTACATTATCTACTGCCAGCACTAGATAATAAAGAAAACGTAAAGGATCGAATATGTGATTTTCTATAATTTACTTGTAAGTCGCGGTTGTTTTGGCTATTGCAATTCATTTAAAACTCGCGGTTGGCTACTACGTATGACGGATTTCGACAATCAATCAAAAGTTGCGACAACGTTGTCCTAACTCTTATTATAGGAACATTATCTTTGACAATATAATACATTATCAATCTAATATAATATATTATATTATATATTATATAATATATTATTTATCTTTGACTTTCTATTTTGTAATAAGCTTTACATTTTTCAAAGTACAGATATAGTAATATATTTGGTGAATATTTATTTAAGTACTATATCTACTTCAACAAGAATAGAATCTGTATTAAAGGCAGATAACTTTTTATTGATAAAAAGCAAGTAATGATATTCATACTAGTTTATTTTTTCCTTATATCTACAATATGTATATAAATCAAACAAGCAATCTCATGTGGACAATTTTGATAAATGCTTTTTTGAAATTTTTCATTAACTCTCGAAAGGATTAAGCCGAGCATAGACTTTTACACAAAACGTAATGCACAAGAAAATCAATTAATAAGTGTCCTTTATTTTCTTTCTTTTTATGAAATAAAGAACTCTAATTGATTTTCTTATACGTTATGCAAGAGTCTGTGCTATCCACTTTAACTGGAGTTTTAGAATAAGTCAGTAATCGAAAGTCTTAATTGAAGTTGGCTAATAGCTAACTTCACGATTAAGGTTGAGACTTCCAATTACTGACTATTGACTGATTGTAGAACCTCTATAAGGTGTACACACTTTGGACGGGAGCACAATCTTGCACAACGTATAATGCATAAGAAAATAAACCAATCAAAATTCCTTCCTTTTCATGAAATAAAAGACTCTGATTTGTTGATTTTTTCTTGCTTTATGCTTTATGCATTAAGTTTTATGCAAAGGTTTTTGCTTCAACTCTTGCGTAACATATGAGGCACAAGAAAGTTAATCAGAGTCTTTTATTTCATATTCTCATTACTTAATTTTTTATGCCTTACACCTTATGCGTTATAAAATGTTATGCAAAAATCTGTGTTGCGTCCTTTATTGCAACTTTATAACATTGCCTTCGCGACGTGTGTGAGGCACATTTTTGCAGGCGAGAGGTTGGTATAAAAGATAATTCGAGATGAGTATTACGCTATTCAAAGATTTCAAATTTTCTTCGGCGTATGAAAGTCATTCACATATTTGTGTCCGTAAAACATCCTTGTATTCATTTCCGGAATTTCAATATCTGATTAGTTTTTATGAAGGATATACGCGGGTCTACTTACACCGTGGTAACCGACAGTAGACCCATTAATTTCCCGCCCATGTTAGATCCACCTGTGCCCACTCTATTTCCGTGAACCAACATTTCTTGGACGGTGGTAAAATCATCCAGTGTTTTTTTACGCACCATCTTCTTGTAACTTAGCTCGACGATGTTCAATGGTTTTTTGGACACTTTGTCCTCTGTATGTTCCCATATCACCAGATCTTTAGTCTGTTGTATCTGCTGCTGTTCCTGCTGCAGTATCAGTTCCTGTTGACGTTGCTTGCGCTCGCGTTCCAGTTGCCGTTTACGCTCCTCTTTGCTCCAATAGCGTCCGACCTAATAAATAATAATGTAAAAAATAAATAAATAAATATCAATAACGAAATTAATAAATTAAATGTTAAATCTCGTAAGATCGTACATATGAGAACACAACCAATACTATATAAATGTCCTTAATAGTCTAGCTGGATATTAAGTATTTTTGTATAATTCTATGTGAATTTTATATATTACTAGTCCAGGAGACCGCGTGAAAAAGTGACTATTTTCTAAAATTTAGATTTTTTTTTTATTTGATTGTATTCAGGATAAAAAGCAAAATCCTAGAATCAGCAGGTCAGACGTTAGCACCCCTGGCGCCTGCATTCCTTCAAAGATGTCAAAAAAGTAGTGTCACAAAAGTATTTTCTACAATAAAAACTGAAAATTTATGTATGGATAATTTATACAAGATGTAGAAATATAACCGTCAGACAGCCTAGCGCCAAAACATGGTAGTGTTAGCACTACCTTAAAGTTGCAAAAAAAATGTAACGTAACTATTTTGTAAAATCTGAAATTTGCAGAGTACTAAATTATTTAATGCTATTTATATAAGAAAAAAATAGTATAAACGGCTTTTTGACGGGACTAATATTTTGTTAGATGCAATCAAAGAGATAATATTACGCGCACAGCCCGTGGTTGCATTGATTTGCGCTTCTCCATCCTGGGTTTTTGTTGTATAACTTTCACATGTAATTAAATAATATTAATTTAAAAACATTGTTTTTTGATAAAATTGAGGAAAATATAAATAAAAAAATATATAAATAATTATATTTATAATTATTTATATATTTATATATATTTTAAACAATAAATCTATATTCATATCTGTTTAGAAATTGGAAATGTTTTAAAAATATTAATCATATCGAAACAATACGAAAAATATTAATTTAATTGCGCACAAATAATAATACGTACGATCCTGTAATATTAGAAACAATTCAAGGTGCGCGTGCACGCAGCCTAGAATATTGACGTATAATCGTGTTTCAGTGCATCCGTATAATTTCTCTTTTATTTATATATTGATATTCTAAGTAGATTGTTAAAATAAAATAAAATAAAATAATTCATAATACGATTTATATAAAAAAAATTTTATTAATAAGATTCCAGAATAGAGATTAAAATAGAATAGAATATAAGATTAAAATAGATTCCAGAAACTTATTTAAAACATCAAAGAAATAGGTCATAAGAAATTATTTAAAATAATAAATAATTAATTACTAAATAATTCTTATTTTATTTTAAAATACATGTTTTAATTAATATCATTTTAAATACAACTGACCTCTAGTTTTCATTCTTGTATGAGGCAAGGATTAGTCACTTGGATTTGAACTCTTTCATCGTTTTGCTAGTTTAAAGCATAATAAAGATTTCCATCTTTCAAATAAATAACGATTATCTTGATTTGAAAACAACAGTTGTGTCATTGTCGTCGAATAATTTGTGCGTTTCATTTTACATGTTTCATTAAGCGTGTCAGTTTCAAACAAAATCCAAGGTTACCAGAAAATTGATCGCTTTGACAAAAAACAGAGAATGCAGATTAATGTTGAAAGAAAGTAAGGGAATAAAATTTTTTGCTATCTTCTAAAAATTTTGTAAATTGTGTTTAAATATTTTTTTATTTTAATATATAAAATATTAAAATACACACAATAATTCTAGAAAATTATATATATATATATATATATATATATATATATATATATATGTTTAAAATTTTATTTCGTTTCAAGATAAGTTAAAAAAGCTTTTATTGACGTTAGTGAAATAAAATTTTCAAAAAATTATCAATCACAACATAAAATACTTAAATTTAATGGAAAGCGGACGAAAAATTGAACAAAGCCTATCAGAATGAGAGAAGCCTATCAGAATTCATCACTTTCGGTCTCACTCTCACGAGAGTTTAAAGTAAATAAATATTTCAAAAATTAAATTATGTGTATATGAATTTAAGAAATTTTTTAAAATTAAAATATAATTTTATACGATGACTTGTAATTAAAAATAAAATTTTGAGCATTTGCAATTAATTGCAAGAGTATTATAAATTACTAAATTATAATTAACGTTTAGATATCAAAAGAATTAAATTAATTTTATTTTACTTGACACAGAATAATTTTAAATTCCTCGGCTATTTCTGAAGCAAATACAAGTAGAAGTACCAGCGCTGTCTAAATTATTAACCCAACATTCTGATAGCAGAGCGTGGTTACCGCAACTAGAGAAAGAAGCTGTCAAAAAAGAAAGCAAAGGCCGACAAGAGATTTTCGAACAGCAATAAAAGTAGAAAGCGGACACGCCGGAAGGTAAAGGAAAAAAAGAGTTACGATAGAATGGATAGAGTGAGTTCCGTTCCACAATTTACGACTACGAATTACTAAGTGTGGACTATGAAATTAAAAGCACTATTAGTATAGCAGTAGCAGTATTAGTAGGCTTAAAAAGAATGAGATATATCCTCGCAACTGATCCATAGGACAAGGAATGTGAGAAATGAGATAGCGATAACGATGACGCCGTATATATTATATTATAAACCTAACCTTATCCGATGATCAAGCCATGCAGTTTGCGAATGAAACCAACGCGAAAGCACGTGTGGGCAAAAGTTAAAGAAACATACATGGGACATCTTGAAGATTTTAAAATCGACATCACAGTTGAACTACGCAGCATAACAATGAGTGATAAGGAGACAGCAATAGATTACGTTGCACGGGCACGAGGCCTAGTGTCGAAATACAAAAGTTTGGGCGTTAAAATATCAGATCGCGAGCTTGTCTACCACTTTGTGAGAAGCTTAAATGGTAAATGTAATCGTATAAGAAATATACTTAAACTTAGAAATATACTTACACAACGAGATAAGAAACTCGACGACGTATTGGAAGACTTACGAGAGGAAGAAAAAGAGCTGAATAACCAGAAGAAACGTAACGATGCGGCTTACGCAACAAGAGATGGAAAACGCAAACTGGAAAGAAATGTCACATATGCAAAAAGTCTGGACATCTAGAAGGCGTGCTGACATCGAAAAATTAACGACATCCAGAGAAAGGATCGACAGGATAGGATACGTGGAAACCACCATAGCAATGCACAACACTCAGGTCGTCCACAACAAAATCGTCAGGACGGACGCAACGATCGGAATGAAAAAACCAACAATAAGAACGAAAGAGCCAACGAAGTCACTAATGACTACGCATTCGAAGTAGACTGTGTAAATGACAGTTGCAGAATAAATTGGATACAATAGCGATAGCAGTAGTCACATGATTAAAGAAAGATTTGTATTTAACGATTTTCATCTGGCGGGTAAAGAGTCTGTGACAAAATCAGAAGGAATCGGCTCGATTAATAGTAAATTTGAGATTGATGATAAATATGGATTTAAAGTATACTTTAAAGGATAATTATGGATTTAAAGATACTCTATTTGTTGAATTAAGAAATAACTTGCTTTCTATACGAAAATTAGATGAAATGGGTTACAAAGTAACATTCAGTAACGACATAGCATTAATTAGGAATTAAAAATGGCTCTAAACACATTATAGGGAGCCAAGTTATAACTGATGTTTGTTCCATGAGCGCAGAAAACGTAAGAAGCATGAAATGTTATGGCATAAACGTTTGGTGCATTTGAGTCCTAAGTACATGGATAGATTAGTTAGAAAATCTCTTGTTAAAAATGTCAATGAAATTTGTAGAAGTGAAATTGAATGTGAATCGTGTAGTAAGTCGAAGTTAAACGCAAAAAAGTCACAAAATAGTAGAGTATAGAGTTACTGATAAACCGTCAGAATTGATATATATTAATTTATGTGGACCTATGCCAACCAATTAAAGATTCCAAATATATGATGGTAACAGTGAATAATTACACGGGCATATTTCGTATATTTTCTCAAACATAAGAATGAAGCATTTTATTGAATTTCAAAAAAATTTAGGTTAAAGAACAGGTTAGAGACTAAGATTAAAAGTATTATAACTGATAATGGTCGAGAATTCATTAACGAAATTTTCATAAGCACTTGAACGAATTATTGGTATTGGTCATCAGAAAACCGTATCTTTTAATCTACAAAGCAACGGAAAAGTAGAAAGGGCAAACCGCGTACTATTAGATAGGGTCCGAACTATGTTAAATAATAAATTGCCTCCCAAATTTTGGACAGAAGCGGTGACAACAACAAGCCACATCACAAACTTAACCTAGAAAAGGGAAAAAGAATACCCTATTCGAATTATTTTTTGGCCATAAGCCTTCATTAGGGCACTTGAAAGTATTCGGCTGAGTAGCATTTTCTATGTACCTAAACAACACCGCGATAAATTAGAGCCTAGAAGCGAAACTGGCATAATCGTATGCTATGCTAGAAGTCATAGCGAATACTGCATCTACGATATTAAAAATCAAAGAATAATAGAGGAGCGAACAATTAAATTTCATGAAAACACAATGGGTTCTGTTTTGCTTAATTATAAAGAAATATCTAATGAGGAATTTAAAGCCTTCGATTTCGAGTCATTATGTGAAAAGACAAATGATGAATTAGTTGATGCATTAATGCAGGATAGAAGTGAAATACCCAAAGTTGATGTAGATGCAGAATCCGATAACGGATCAGAGATTTACTGATAACGAAAATGATCCATCTCAAAATATAGAAATGAAAACCATAAGGGTAGACCAGTAGATACGACCAAAGCTGCAATGCAAATACGTTTAAAAACAGGACAAAAACAGGATCGCGAAGCAAGGTTATTGGAACATGGTGCTCGCAAATCAGAACGAATTGTAAGGGGTAGCGATAATGTTCCAATAGAGGTAGCGATAATGTTTCAATAGATAACACAATTGATTTTGAGATTAACGAGATTAATAATGAGATAGTTCCCAATAGTTTTAATGAAGCAAAAGAAAATAAAGATTGATTAGATTGGCATAACGCTATGATAGATGAACTAGAGTC